ATCTAACAGTTCCCACAATGAGCAAAGTTGTGCAACTGCTGTTTTTAAGCAATTCTGAAAAAAGTGCAAGTACACAAGTTTACAAGTGTGTGTGTGTGTGTGTGTGTGTCCATGCATGTCCTCCTGTGCCCATTTGTGTTCAAACTTTTGTGTGGTGAGCTTTGCTTGTGTATTTAATTTACAGGAAGCTTTTAGAGATAGTTGTTCACTGTCAATAACAGCTGTCTCCAAAAAAAGACACTGAAGAGCACTCCTGCACCACAAACTGTGGTTGGCTGTGTGCTTTCATACAGGAAACAGCACAGATGAGGAGAAAGTAATGGAGACTGAAACCACAAAGTCCCCATACTGGAAAGTCTATTTGCCAGATGATTGTTCGAATCACAGTTACACCAGGGTTAATTTAGACAGCAGAGTCTGGACTGTATTGGCTGAAGCTTTCACTTCAGCTACTGCATGTTCTTTTTGTATTTGTGAGTCTCTGTAGGCTGTTAGCACCGCAAACTTCTCTGCACTTTTTGTAAACTCTATCCCTTTATTCTGCCAGCTGGTCTATGGGTGCATGAGAAGGGATGAGGAGGAGAGAGCGGAAGAGTGTGAGGAAGGGTGAGAGTGATCATAGAGCTGGACAATTAACCCGAAATATAATGAAGCCGACATTTATAATCTCTATCTGACTTCATCTTGCTCATGTCCGTTAATTCGGTTCATTTCCTGAATGTATGCATTTACAAACTGTCAGGTTTCCGCTACGTCGATTTTGCAGCATGGATCATGATCCTATGAACATATTCTACCATTACTGACAATAACTCCTCCATTTCAATTACCATTGGTGCTCCCTTCATCTCTATCACACAATCTATGCCAATGTTTATACAATTTGAATGTATAAACATTGGCACATGTCCTGTGGACAGAAGTTCTTCCCGCAGATTATGCAGAAGAAGCGACACCCTGTTTGTCTGTGAACATGTGAATACAAAATAAGCAGGTCATCATAAAGATCAGCTCTACGCGTGAGTGATTGGAAAAGAGCAGAGGAGTGTCTTGTACAGTGACGGACAAGACACGGTTCAAACTCAAATCGTGCATATATATATATATATATATATATATATATATATATATATATATATATATACACACCTATGTGTCCAGGAGTGACCCATCAACCCAGAGATTACAGGAGCGTGGTTGCTGAAGGCAGCGTGGACTTGTTATTCAGTATGTGTGTGTGCACTCATAGCTCACACCTGTTGCTGCATTCCTGAATTATAAATGGCACTGACATACCATTTCGTGTCCTCTCTTTTGAGGAGATCAATGAACTGCTTCAAGAGGGTGAGGCACAATGGATGGGGGAGTTGGAGAGAAGGATAAAAGGATAAAGTGTGGCTGTCTGTATCAGGCATCTCCGTTTGTGTGTGTTTGTGCATCACAGCGAAGGTCAGCCCCCGTGTGTGACTAAGGGGACACCATGGCAGCTCCATCTTCGCTGCCACACGTTGAACATTTTTCCTGGAGACCATGAGCTCCCCTACGTCTTCTCTCTACCTGTCTTCCTCGGCGGCTTAAACAGGAAGTTTAACAGTCCGCTGTTCACTGCGCCCATAAACGTCCATGACAGCAAATCTTCCTGAATACACGCCCAGGTGCCAGCCCAGAATTTAAACTGTGAGCATAACTGTCATCCTCTGCCGGTAAGAAAGAGAGAGCGTTAAAGTGAGAGTGTGGTGGGGAGCTTTTTCAGGAAATAAATGGGAGGGGGGCGGTTAAGGTTGGTGAATCACATTAATAAAGGTAAAGGACGAGTTTCACAGGGTGAGAGGGACGTGCAACAGAACGAGAAAAAATAAATACACAAGAGGGACAAAAAGGGAGGGAGGAATCGAAGTGGGGAAAAAGTGAGAATTAAAAAAAAAGACAGAGAGAAAGATCCCTGCACCTGCAGCTGCCAGCTGTGCCGAGCCGATTCTGAAACGTTGCTCCACCCGGAGAGACTGCTTATAGCCTTTCATTTCGAAAACAGGGATTTACTGCCAGTGAGGGGGGCTGCCAGTGGTGTGTCTGACCGTCTGTGGGTGAGGAGGTGGTGGGAGGAAGGTAGGTGTGTACCGTGCCTACTGTGGAGAGAAACTTGGCTCCCAACATGAGCCACTATAAATAAGAGCCCCTCGCTCCATCCCTCACTCTGCACTGTAATACAGTGAGACTACATGTTCCTCTGATTTCACGGAAGTTTTAAAATGTTGTGTTCACACTTTAGAAAGTTTGACGCATTTTGTGTAGCTTTGGAACATATAGTTTATATTTTCATTGGTTGGCTTTAGCGTTCGCTTGAGTCATTTCATGGACTCATTTACGTCAAATATTTAGAGCTACTGCTTCTAGTGGGACAGCCTGAGGATGGAGCTTCCCCTGGAGGAACTGGCTGAGTCTGTTAATCAGACACAAGTTCAGGCCAAAGCACCATAGATCTAGCTGCTGTTTGAGTGACTACAGCTGCTCTCACACATGCGCTGACCTCCACAGATCGTACATATTTTCTTCTGAGGGGGCTTCTGAAATTAAAAAAGCTAAAAGAAAACAAACATCTACAGTCAAAAAAGCACGTAGAAGAGACACCAACGAAGATGTCACGAGAGTTTGGAGTGATAACAGCCAGCACAGGTGTCTGTGTGCTGAAATGAAAATCATGTGATCGCCACAGCGGAGTTAATACGTCACTTCCTGCCTCTGCACCCGGCTGCTCCACCCCTCACCTGAATAATGTTGCTGTTGTGAATGTGTCTTTGCGGAGACCCCCCCGTTGTGTTGTGCATGTGTGACAGGCAGACTCTGGGTTCAATTCAGATTCATTGGATTTTACCCGCAGGTCATGTCTGAAAACAGATTTTGTCTTCAGGAAGCCATCATATCTAATATGTCGTGTTAATGTCCAGACCCAATTATACAAACATCATATATGAACAACGCAGCAGGAGATTGTCAGAAGTCACATGCGTTTATAACAGCTGGAATACGTCAGGAGCATTCAAGCTGGGGTTTGGCAAAATCACGTGTTTGTTTACAGCACGTTCACACCAGCGTCAGCTCTCATCGCCAGAATCTCAGGTCTTTCAAGCTGACATCTTTTTGATCCTGAGATATTTGTATTCTTTGTTTGTTTTTTTTTGTTTTGCACACTACAGATATAATCAGCATATTATCCTGCTGCATACATGGGCTCACTCGAACGTTCACCAGATATTTGGGCTGCCAGGAGAAACAGTGGAGATCATGTGGACATTTTCGTTCTTAGATACAGCCCAGAATAAAATTCAGTAAAAAACTTACATCTTAACATTTTTCTCTGTCCCCGAGGAACGTGAATGAATCTAGTCAATAGAAACCCTCCTCACAAGAGCAGTAATACTAATATGAGTGGGCAACGTGGGTGGTGTGTTTGTATATATGTCTGTCTGAGAAAGGGCAGGTCACAATTGATAAAGTAGGGGAGTTAAATGATTTCTTTGTGAGCTCTTTTAGCCTGCATCATGATGGCTTCAGATCAGAAGATCGAACCGAGATGTGGAAACGCACCGATGGCCTATCCAATTAAAAATGAATAAAACAGAGCAGAGAATGTGCGCCATGAGCCTACACGGGTCATACGAGAAATACCAAATGAGCTGTGCTGTCTGCTGCCTCTCTGTACATCCAGAGCAGAGAGAGAGAGAGATGGCGGGAGGGAGGATGAGAGAGGAAAAGGAAGCAGCAGCCCAAGTTTCCCAAATGAGCTGTTTGCCTGCCACGCTCCGGGGCTCTCCCATTGTTGCTGCGTTTAGAAATAGCCTCAGTTAGGTTATTTTAAAATTAGCTGCTGCTTCAAGCTTCGCAGCGAGTGCCACTGTTGTTAGAGAAATTGCACTGTGATTACCTCGTTGGTAATTCACATCCTGTAATGTGATGAATGCGTGTTCTGTATGTGGAGGTCAGAGGTCAGACCAGCTGGATGTGAGGGCGTCCTTGCAGCTGGATTCACCCCTTTTGCTCAAGGGCACCTCAGCAGCCATATGGACCGGTCACGGTGATGGGAAGTGGTGGAGCGGATAAAGACTGCAGAGAGATTCAGAACAAATTGAGCAGTCCTCTACTTTGAAATAATCGTTTAAAGACTTGACTGGCAGAAGCAGCTCCTCCAAGTTTCCTCTCTCCCTCTGCACATATTAAAGTCAGATCAAACAGGCGAGCGGTTTTCTCACAGTGGGAATTAAGGCTTTATTAAATATCCCGTGAGAGTCCGTCTGCGGAGAGCAATAGACTGAGTGAAATACCCAGAGAGACGACACAAATAACGGCGGCCAAGTTAGTTCCCTGCCCACCCCCCCTCCACCACCACCACCACCACCACCACCACCACCAGCCTCTCTCTCTCTTTCTCTCACCCTCTCTCTCCCCTCCTCCCCTTGTGTGCTTCTCACACTCTCTCCCTCACACTCACACGAGCCCAAAGAGACGCACAACTTGGTGGCTGAGCGGAATATAGATGCGACTGGAGACAAGAGCCGGAGCATGTGATCTGCACAAACATGAACACCCCTGTGCTCCTCGTCCTCCTCTCCGTCCCCGCTTTTCTTCATCCATCATCTGCGTCGCTCCCTCTCCCTCGCTCCTGTGTGGCTCTATAAAATGCACGTGAAAGACATTCCTTCAAATAAAAGAAGTGAGCTCTGAGTTCTGCAGAGAAGTCAGACGCGACGACTCCTGCTCTGAACTCGGCAGCGGCCGGTGCGCGCAGAGCCACGACACGCTGATAAACTTGGTTTGGCGCGGCGCTGTGCGTCAAGGCGCAGACTCGGGACAAACTTGCCAAGTGAAGCCCGATTGAGACAAAACGGATAACCCAGAAAAATCAGAGTGGGGTCTCTCTCCATCTCGGTCACGTTGTCTCCAATTCTCTCTCTCTCTCTCACACACACACACACACGCGCGCGCACCTCTCCCCCTTGTCTTACCTGGTGGACGAGGAAAGCCAAGACGATGCGGACACCAAGCTCCATGGCGGGTTGTTAATGTCTCTCGGTGTGGAACAGTACGCGGATTCAGGACAGGGTGATAGAGGCTGGGTCAGCTCTGCTCATAATTCCACTGTCCAAGCGCCGGAGAGAGATGGGTAGAGAGACACGGGGACAGAAAGAGAGAGAGAGAGAGGAACGCCTTTCGCCGTGAGCTGCCAGCTGCCAACTTCCCCCCCAAATACAACTGCAGTCTGATCAGCAGAGCATTGGATAGTGGAGTCGAGACCACGACCAATAGATTTATGAGGAGGAGGACGACGGGCGGAGAGAGGGAGGAGTGGGCAGGATGAGGAGGGGGCTCCTGCAAGTGGAGGGTCAGCATCCTCTCATTTCTGCTGTGGACAAAATCAGAATTCCTCCCCGGAGTTTGGAGCGATCGGCGGGTGCAGCTGCTTCGAGGATTCATCAGTATCCCACGTATCGGTGCCGTTTTGTGCCCCCCATCAGACAGCTTTATAGCCCTTATACCAGCATCTTTAATCCGTCCCCGTTTAAAGGTGATTTATGGTTTCTATAGAAATTACGCTCAGTGCATGAGTGACGGGGGGCGCGCGCAAGTAAAGCTGTTAAATTCAACCCTGGTGCACGAGAGAGAAAGTTCATGCATTTCCATTGCTGTGTGCTGTTACATTAAAATGCTCCATAGGAGAATTGATGCATATAGTTTTTAATCCTAATAGCTGTTTGAAAATTGAAAACATTGCTGTGATTTGTCATTATCAGCTCCAACATAATTTATTATTTCATTTCTGTGAAGATAAATTTCATTTTCTCCTCTTTGCAGTGGGTTGAGTTCAATCCCACTGTTGGTCATATGGTCTGACCTTTACCGACATCATCATTATGACAGAATGCATCAAACTCCAAACAACATTACAAGTTATGAGGCAAAACATCCAAAGTTTTGGGTTTGCACACCAAATGCTAAACTTCAAGCTCATGCTGAGATGACACCAGTTATTTGTTTTCACATCTGAAAGTCTGGACCAAGCTTCCTGTCATGTTACATCTTTAACATTTGATTTGCTGAGTTTTGGTTTCACGTTTAACTTAGGGAGAGAACTAAAGACTTTTGAATGACATATATACGTCCCGTCATCGCCACCAGCCTCGACTTGACAGTGACTGGTTTGTGGACAGACGCGCGTCTGACGTTGTCAGTTCGGGGGGGTAGTTGTTTCCGTTGAAATGGAGAAAACAAATGAAGTGGTTTAATCTGTAAAGTTGGTCGCTGCTGGAAGATCATCATGTTACTACTATCACCAGCACTAACTTCAGGCACAGTACTGGACACTGAACGTCCTTGTTGTTCAAACACAAAGTCGGAGACAAAGACTGTAACTGAACCTGTGAACCACTTCTGCTTCTGTTTTAAAGCTTTCTCATCTTCCTGCAATCAGTCCAAATGTCTGAACTATTCAAAAAAAAGTGTTATCACTGCAAACAAATCAAATTAATGCTAATTTTGATCCAGACCACTACCACCTCATTTGCTTGGACTAAATTCTGGTCCCCTGGTCTGGACCATTGTCCAAGGCAGCTTTCACAATGTTTTGGTTCTGACTAAAGTGAAAAGTCCGAAACAAACAGCGGAGGTGTGACAGTACCCTCAGACATTGAAAAAGCTTCCTCCAGAGACACAGGAGATGTTATATAATTATTTTTACAGCCTACTCATCATGTCGAGCAACCTGTTCTTTGGGAGTGTGATCACAGTTTTAAAATACAAAAAACAGAGTCATAAATCTTGCTTGAATGTTTTATGCAGTTTTTATATATTTTGTTCCTTTTTGTTATTCATGCAGGCAACCTCAGTCTACCTGAGAGTCACTGATCTGATCTGCATGCCACTTGTTTTGTGTTCCATCTTCTTGTGCTGTGTTTTTTAATCTAAAGAAAAATACTTTTCCTCTCTTTTCAAATCCTATGGAATAACATTTCAAACTAATTTTCTCACTGTTAACAAACCCCATAAAAAGCTTAAAACCACACATGCTGTTTGAGACACTTGGAGATTTTTCCTCTGTTCCATAAAGCTCCATTGTTGTGGTTCAAAACTGTTAAAAAACATCGATCAGTCACAGTGTGGCACCGGGCAACATCACCACCAACATGGCCGCTGCAGTTTGTTTGGAATCGAGCCCACGTGCATTGTTCTGCTGCTGCGATTCTCATTTAAAAACCAAATCTCTAACTTGTGCTTGAGGTAAGTGAAAACCACACTGCCCAGCTGTTTGGGGGAATCATTCAGCATTCAATAAGAGATTTTCAAAAGGAACAAATGAACGTGCTGTGCCATCAAGTGAAAAAGTCATATGGTCTTTTTAATGATTCCTTTTTGAAAAACTGGGAAAATCTAAACTATCAGGGGTCTGTTTTTCCTTTTAATCTAGAAAAGCAGACAAAGACAGCAAGTCCCGTGCTCACGTGTCCTTCAAACACTCAGTCGCTACAGTGATGCTGTTGACCTCTGAGCTTCCTGTTGGAAATAATCACCTACCTTCCAAATCACTACCACATAATTATTAAAATGGAGGGAAGCTCATTTGAATTCAACCGTGTGGCTGATTGAAGTCTTGATCGCATACAACATAATGCCATGCGGATTGCTCTTAGTCTTTTTATAGTTTCAGTGAGTCAAAGGATCCTTTCAGTGAGGACCCACCGTCACCATAGAATATTTGAGCTGTTGAAATATGAACACTTTCAAAGGCTCTTGTGTTATGAAGCATGTAAGTGGAAGCATGTTTGCTTGCGTATGCAAAATAAAACCAGCTTGTCACGAGGTGTTCGAGCCTCGGAAGTAACAAGACATTCAGTATGATTTCAGAATTTCTGAGAATTTTACTCAGCCTTTCTCCTTGAATTTTCATCACAGCTAAAAAGAAGAGATCCATTGTGAGCGGTTCAGACATCAGCCTAATCCAGACACTACTGAGATTAATTCAACCAGCACCAAACATTTTCTCATTCCAAGCACCAAAGGTCAGGTGTCTATAGATGTAGCACATCAGTCTTTCTTAGGAGGCAGAGGTGTCAATGAGCACATTAAATCTCAATGCAAAGTGCCCTTAACCTCCAACACACAGAGAATAGAGAGGGGAACAGAGGGAGGACTCTCCAGCTCAGAAAATAAATAAGTAAATAACTTGTATTGAGCCAAGATGAAAAGTACCTGCAAACAAAGAAGGTAGGGGGAACATTAAGAGCTTATTTCTGACTTTGTATTTCTGATTTGAATATTATTGATCAATCACAAATCACAGTTTGACTGATAGGGCTTCACAAATTGGGAAATCCTCTTCCCCGACCCTTCAACAAGAGTGAGAACAACTTCCAACAAAAAAACTAAATTAAATTAAAGGTAAAAACCTCAATATACCGATAGTCGCGAATAAGTCAACAAAATAATATCTTCAAAATTCATTAGAACAGACAGTGTCTCACATAAATTGAGGAGGTGTATCAATGTTTCAAGCTCCTGCAAGGAACTTTTAACTTTCATAGATGTTGGCGTCTCTGTGGACAAAAGCGGTGTTTCCACTGTCACCTGTCGTAAAAGCCTCGGTCCGGACAACATTAGTTTTGGGAGGAGTGAAAAAGACGCACATGTATTGAGTTCAGGACAAACACCAAGAAAATACTGAGACACTGCAGCTCTCTTCAGATTGTTTTCACTGTAATGATTTAACATGAAACCCATTTGTCAGAAAAGACAAACCTTTTACAATATTGGAGCTGATTAACCATTCACTACAGCATTAAATACATTTACAAGGAAATGTACTTCCCCTCGTCTTACTGTGGGCAAATGGAACATCCCACCAGAGAAAATACCAAGTCACTCCATGTACAGGGGCTTAAAGTTGTCTGGAATATCAAACCACACCATAACACACAGGATGAATAGTGATGAAGTCATGTATCGTAATTCTCATTCTGAGCTCATCCATCTTGCTTGAAAGAGACCTGGAGTTGGTGAGGAACAGACTCAGGAGCGCTGATCTGTACAGATTAGCCTTTAGCCTAGTCTTTAGCCTAGCCTTTAGTATACCCTTTAGCTTAGCGCATAGCCCGGCTACAAATCTCATTGTGAATGTAAGACACACCTCTTTGAATATAGCACGTAACAAACAATATACAGTTGATCATTATCAAACAAAGGTAAATTCCTCTAAGTGAGTCTTTCTTCAGAAAACACTCAGTTTCTTAAACAATCTTTTTTTTAAAACCTGATAATTATGACACAGTGGTGATGATGTCATAAGCATCTTCTATTTACTAAAATATGAAGCATTACATTATTTGTGTGACCTCAACTATATTTACTACAAAATGCATTTTAATGCAGACGATGATGTTCTGATATCCCCCTCTCTAAAATGACACATAGTCTAAAATTATGACTTTATACTTACAAGTTCCTTCTTGTAAAGTCACAACTCTATTCTCGAAATCTCTCAATTATTTTGGTTTCAAGTTAGCCTTAATACTCCATCATAATTTAACTCATTCATAATGATGTTTATGATGCAGTGACAGATTTCTACACATTTTCATCTCGACTGGAGGAAGGTAGACGGTTAGCCTCGCTCTAAAGCCCGGTGGCAGGGGTCTCTGTGTATCTCTAAGCACAGGAGAAGCAGTCAAGCTTCCCCCTCTCTCTCCTCTCAATGGATGTGAAAAATGAGGGCAGGAATTGTTGTGACGCCTGAAGAATTGCTTTTCCTAGACAATTTTTCTGCCATATTCATTTATCAGTACAGTAAAGGCACAGCGAACATATCATCAGTGAAGGCCTGACTCAAAGCACACACCTTCAGTGGAGGAGGAGCCACTGCACTCAGCCTAAAAAAAAGAGGAAGACAACTGAAATAATCAATCAACAATGACATGAGTGGATGAAGAGTAAAGTGTCAAACAGAGTCTAGCAAATCCTGTCATGTCCTCTAATATTATACAAACAACAGATAGAAACAAAGGCATGTTCTGTTTTTAAGCCATTGCTGAGTGGAATCGACAAATCATGACAGAAACGTCTGTTTGGGAGCACGAGCAGATAAAAGCTGCTTGACAGTTTTTAGGCTCA